CCTCGGATAGCACCCATCAGCTCTCAAGCTTCGCCGCATCCTGCCCTGCCGCTTGTCTTCTCCGGCACATTAGAAGACGCGTGGATCCTGCCTCTCCACCCTTCGAACAACTGCGCTTCCCGTCATCACTTAGCTTACGTCTTTTTATTCTTTACTTAATCCGAAACACGCTTCTAACGCCCCGTCGTCCAGCCCCGCCACCGTCCTCAGCAACACCGAAGAGCGTTGTCGTCCTCATCCTCGAACAGTCACAACCCCCCTTTCCTTAATATCGAAGACGACGTAAAGGAGTAATTCGGTTCTGATTTATTTTGCCCAGACTCGACCCATATTCAGTTCTGATTCCTAACTTAGATCCAACCCGCATGGGCTACAGACCCGTTAAGATCTCATATCTGATTCAAGTCTGTTTCAGAACCAGTTGGAGTCCGATTTGAATCTTATTCAAGTCTGTTTCAGAACTAGTTGCAGTCTGATTTGAATATGATTCAAGACCGATTTGAGTTCTGATTCCGCGGCCCTTTGGTGCATGGCCGATCCTTAAGCCGAAGACAGCCAGTTCGTGTACAACCCAGAGACCAGCGTGATTGATTAGCAGTTTTCTCAGTGGTTTGACTACCAGCCTTCCGATACTCCAGTCGGATATATTGAGCGCGTGACTCCTCAGATTGCTGATAGCGTGGAGAGTCGTTTGGGCATCAGTTCGTGGCATAGACGCTTCTACCAAGACACGCCACTTCATCCTAGTTACGTGGCTCTCAGAGGAGAACTCCCGCCCCTCAGATTTTGTGTCGTCACACCGCCCTCACGTCGCACCAGTTCAGACCGACGAAGGTTTTGTTTTCTTTCGACCCAGTATTTTCGGAACTGCTATTTCGTGCATGTTGTTATCAATTTTAATATCAATTGCGAGTGTGCTGTATTCTGTTTGATTAGTGAGCAAGTAATTTTGTTGCCATGTATATCTGCTGAACTAAATATTACAAGTTGAACTTTATTACGAAAACAAATCATTATATTGTTTTTCTGAAAAATTTACAAGGCCATAAACTTAGTACATTTGTAACTTTTTTTAAAAACCATCTGGAGCTTCACTTTATTCTCAAGCTTCCTGCCTAGATCGATCGCTGATTTGGTGAAGCATTATGTCACTGTTCTCCATACCTGCATACACATTGTTTCACATCAATATGAATCAAGTCTCCTAGGTGAACAGTAGTGGAAGCTACACGCCTAAAATGGCCATAGGTAGCTAAACATGGTGGAAGCTACAAGATCATATTAAGATAAGCACAAATATAACAAGAATTTGGATAATATATTGGCAGTATTGCTAGAATTGGGATACAATAAAGTACAAAGATCAGTTATTTGAGGTTTCTAAGCTTAAAAAGTGAACATATTCCTTTTATTAGGAGCTTCCCAGTATAGGAAAAATGATTGGTGATGTGCACTTCTTGGCTCTAATAGAAACGATTTTACCAGTCAACTTGAAAAATATTATTACCTTTGAACTTCTCTTTTAGGTTACAAATTAGTTTATCAAGCCCTAAGTATAATGCTGATCTAGGAGCACCTCTAGCCATTTAAAAGGACCCAAGATCTCGAATCCAAAAAACATTCCAGTAAAAAATTGCCAACTTTCCGAAATTACTGAAAGAAGTAGACACGAGTATTTTTCAAGGAGACCACAGCCAATTAAAAGCGCTTTTTTTTAGTTGGCTCAAATTGGCTATTGGGATGGGAGATATGAACTGAACGAGTCAGATGGTTCAACCTAACTTGCCAGTCCAAATTTTGGTAAAGAAGAAACTGGAGAGGTTTGTTCGGATAATTTGGAGGAAGTATGTGCATTGTCTGATGGTAGTCATTTTTTTTTTCGAATGAGAACTCCAATAATCCCAACGATTTGGAGAATTTTTGGTACTTTTCAACTAAGTCATGTAATATTAAGTGGGCAACTAGAGAGTTAAATCTCTGAAAATAGGGATAAGTTTTGAATTGTAAATAATAAATTGAAGACAAGTATAATGTAGTCACTAAATCAGAACATATGGTTGACGATTTCTTAAATAGAGACAAGTCTTGAGTTGTAAATCGTAAATAAAAGAGAGATATACTATGTCTGAAGAAAGATTGCAAAGTCTTTGTAATCGGGACAGAACCATACGGAGCTTTAGCTGAAATAAAAACTAGAGAGATCAAATGTTGTTGCTGTACTTTCTAAAAAGGTCTGGTCAAGAGAACAGGAACTTGGATAAGTCTTCCTCTAGCCAATAAAACTGAGAGGTGAGATTTTCCGCCCATTCTGAACTATAGTTTCTGAACCATAGTTTCAATGCTCTTGCAACCACCATCGAGCAGTATTTTAGATAATGTTAATTTTATCTAAATGATCATGAACATGTGGGCATGTAACCTTAACCCATTGTTAAGTTGGAGCATAACCTTCGCAAATTGGACATTCACAGCCACTATCTCTGTCCTAAATTGTTTGACAGCTGTTGGTTAAACTGGTAGATACTGCTGACTAATATATTGATAGTGTAGTATGATTGTACCTCTTTTGTTGGGGACACCTTGAACCTTCTGCAAGGGTTTGTCAACTAAATTAATCAAATACTTGAAGCCTTCCCTTCGAAGGGCAAGATCATTGCCGTGAATTGAAATGAGGTACGAATTTGCATGTCAATACAAAATCCATAGACAGTGTGCAAATGTTATGAACTTCAATATTGTTCTCATAGCTAAGTGGTGGTGGCTATTACTTAATGTATCACCTTGGAAGGCCCTGCAACTAAAATTGTTGCTAAGCATACTTGGATGGTTTCACCCAGCAAGATTGATGCTCCTTTTCTAGTAATTTCACCATATTTAAGTGGTAGTGGCTAAGACTTCAATATCATGATGCTTTCTGGAAAGCCTCTGATACTGGCAAGCATCTTACAGCATACTCGATGGATTGAATGTAGTAGAATGCTTATCCATGTGCAGCACCTCCATCTTGGGGCGGAAATGAACCAAATCAAATCGAATAATGTTCTATTCGAATTTGAATTCAGTTCAACTGGATATATTCAAATTAGTTTTTGAATTCAGGTTGAATATTGAAATGATATTCAAATTCGATTCGATTAAATATATAGTTATTTAACATTTGTTCATGAATATTTGACTAGCTCAGTTGGTATGCCCAAGACCCTTTAGCCTACCCTGGGCATTTCTCCCTTACATTTTATTTTGACAATTTTAACGTAACAACCCTACTATAGACTCCACATCTACATTAATCCATTTTGTAGTAAGCTTATTTAGCATGTAAACCTCATCCATTACTTTAACTGAAATCTATACCAATTTATTTGAATTCAAAAGAAGACTAAAGTACATCTAAATCAACTTATTTAACATCTCAACTAAAGTTAAAGTTAATTTCATTTAGAATTAGACTTATTTGACATTAATCTCATAGGTTTTCAGAAAAATCTATTTCTAAGATATATTTTTTTCTATTGATATATGTTGGCATAATATACATCTCAAACACAACTTTGGAAGACAAATAGAGTTTGTAATTAATTAAGTTTATACCAATGTTTAAAAAAGTTGAAGTGCAAGGGGAAGCATTAGACCCTTGAATGAAGCGAAGCATAAGCTTCAAAGCCTGAGGCATAAGCCTCATGAGTTTAAGTATTTTAACTTCAAAGTTTGCAAAAGTTTGAACATATAATATATAGTGGTATGATAATGTACAATTAGATGCATTCATGTTCTAATTAGTAAATAAGTGAAGTAAAGACGCAAATCATAATAGTCTAAGATATATGCATAACGTATATTATTTTATATTCACATGGTTATATTGAAGATACATAGGGGTAACTTAGTATTAGTCAAAATATTTTTATATCCTTCTATCTTGTTTAAAGCATGCGCTTCAAAAGAGAAGTGCTTTATGAAGCGCAAAGCGCACACTTCAATTATGCATTAAGCGGTGAGACATAAGCTTCATGGAATAAATAATTTTTCTCTTGAGCTTCGAAGTTTTACCCTTCTAAAAGTTTCGAAGCGAGTTTCCAAGCAGGTCTTGAAAAACTTTTTCAAACATTTGTTTATATGATTAAAATGTAAAACATAAACGAATATTTATAGTCAAATGAATCTAGTATACATGTTAAATTTATGAGCAAAATTCTAAAATCTATTTGTTTATTGTCACGTAAACTATCGAATCGAATATAACCAGGCACTTTGATAAGTACTTAACAAATTTTTTGTTAAATTTGGTGCATTTCCACCCCTACCTCCATTTACTCTGTGTGCGCAAAGCTTTTTGTTGTCCCATTTGAGGGATCAGCTGGATAAGTAATGTTATAGGGGATCGATATAGGTAATTTCCTGTTTCTGTGGTAAATTACTTCTTCAAGGAAGCACACTTCAAACTGAGTTTATAAATCATGTTCGACACATATTTGTTGAGGTTTTCACAATGCTTGCCTGGAAAATATCAGACATGTCGGTGCTCTGTGGATTTATGGAAGGGAAAAGCCTGTTTTTTGGAGATCTGTCAGTTTTTTTAAACAAATCTAATGTTGTTTTAGGCACCTTGAAGCACTGTGTTGCTTAGATGTACATAAAACAATGCTCTTTAACATCTCTTGTAGGCTACTTTTGTAGAATCCCTACGCCCTTTCAAACATGAGGGCCACTTTGTGCTGGAAGACAAGGTAGTGGATGGGACTTTATTTCATTAATTGGTTGGAAACTATATGTTTATCATTAAAGTATTTTGTTTCTACTTTTAGAGAAGCATTTCCTGACGATCTTTGAAGGACTTGTCATTTTGCTTTAGTAATATTATCTTATAGTTGTGTCCAAGTCCTGGGCAATGCTCCTTAGGCAACATACACCTGTTGTTTTTATTACAATAGTAGAAGTACATTTTTGAACTTTGAGTGCTAAAATTTTAGGTTCTGAGATGTTGTATACCACCTTTTCAGGTTGTTGATATATCCAGAGTGGAATATGAACCTTCAGATCAGGATATTCTCTATGCTGATGGAATAACTCCAGCTAATGCACTAACATGTACAGAGTTCACTTTCCCACAGACAGCTTCCGAAGGAAGTGGCGATGATGCTGATCAGCAGGATACCCTAGTAAGGTTGGTCCATTTTCTATCAGCAATTGCATACGTTTGCATTATAACCGAGGTTAACAAAATGCTTTGATTGGTTCCCTAAGCTTAAAGGCACTGGTTAGTCATGGTGGGGTTTGTGGCATTAAAAGGATGAGAGAAAACCTGGCAATTGGTAAAATTATTTGAAGGATACTGAGAAAGAAAACAGGGTAGAATAACCACCAGTTCCCCTAGGCCGCTCTCAGTATATGTTGTATTATTTATCTAGTTGAACCAACAAAAAGAAGTTAGGAAAGAAATTATTTCCCTTGTCTGATAACCTGGGGGGTAATATCTGGAATAAAATGCTCAGGCCTTAATTTGGTTCCAATAGCTGTAGTATTTCTCACTTAAAAGGGAGTGAAAATAGACGTGAAAATTGCATTTTCTCCATCTTTTCTTTTCCCTGTAATCATCTGCGTGACAAAATTTGGCCTCTATTGGATATCCCTGCTGTCAGATTCTAATCACTTGCTGAACAGATATATTCGGGCTAAATCAAGTAGATAGGAAATCTATAGTATGATTACTTTCTAAACTCAAGATAGTGAATTTGTACAAATAGGAAATCCGAACTGCAATACACACTGCTATTACTCCTTACGAACAATTTTTTGAATGATCATCTATTGCAGGTATCAACTCATTAGACTTCCTTCAAAGGGCTTAGGAGAGAACTGTAAATGGTTAGATATGTTTGAAGATGTTCGCATAGTAATATTCTGTGTGTCCTTAAGCGACTATGATGAGTACTACGAAGATGCATTTGGAGTCCCAATCAATAAAATGATGGGGAGCAAGAAACTCTTTGAGAACATCATAGCTAATCAATCCTTCGAAGATATGGAATTTCTTTTAGTACTCAACAAATTCGATCTCCTTGAGGAAAAAATCAAGTCATCTCCTTTGACCGTATGTGATTGGTTTGATGATTTCCATCCTATTTCTAGCAGAAACCCTAATGGTGATTCCTCAGAGGCTGAAAAGGCATTTTACTATATTTCATTCAAATTCAAGAAGCTCTTTGCTTGTCTTTCTAGAAGAAAACTGTATGTTACTTCAACAAAAGGATTGGAAAAAGAGTCAGTTGATTCTATGCTTCGGTATGCAAGGGAGATTCTGAAGTGGGAAGAAGTGAGGCGGCCATTGAATAATCACTTCTCAAACTTTGAGACAACCACGACCTGTCCTTAATGTTTGTAGAAGGAAAAGATATAGAGTTGAGGTCTGTATATAGATGGGTTATCATTGTCATGTATGTCCTGTTTTGTCATGTTACGTACGTGAAATTTGTTGTAATATCGAGAGAATTATGTATGTCATGTGTGTAAATATATGGAAAATGTCGACGGCATTCTTTTGGAAATGAATGGCTTATAATTGATGTTGGTGTTATTTGTTCATATGTTAACAAATAGATACCACTCTAGTCTAGGGTATGTTATCTATGTCACTGTTAATTATGCTATCTATGTCACTGTTGCACTGTAGTAGATACAGGAATATTTTCCAATTTCCCTGGTTTTTTGGGATTTTTATCCCCAAAGTCTGCTGTCGTAGCTTTCACTTCCATTCGGACTCCGATGGCTATGCTTTCGAGGCTTAGATTTTTTGGTCTTCAGCCTTTGCTCTGCATCTAAGGTTCATTTGATTACTCTAAATAATTTCCATTCTATTTTGTTATTTTTCGCTAATTGTATTTCGATTCAAATGTCAGACAATGCTTGGATGGTGAAATTTATCAACAATTTGCCTTTCAAGCATCAATGTTTCTCTTTCAAGCATTTAGGTAGTCAAATGTGAGCTTTTCCCCTTTTTTTCTTTGATATTCTTTTAATTTCAATTTTTTATTATGAACTAAGGTTTTATTATTGGTGTTGATTAGCTTCTTTATCCTCAACTTTTTTTAGGCTTTGGTTCAATTTTTTATTATGAACTAAGGTTTTATTATTGGTGTTGATTAGCTTCTTTATCCTCAACTTTTTTTAGGCTTTGGTGATATTTTTTATTAGTTTAAAAACCCATTTGGAGACATTTGAACTAATGGTGGAAAAAATGATCGATTTCTTCATTAATTTCTAATCCTCACAAAGTGTGTTTCTAATCAAAAATTTCCCAATTTCCTTTCAGATTATGTTGATGGTCATGTCAAAGATAAACCATAGAACCAAACCAGGTGAAATGATCTCTGTTTTTATTTTATTTTATTTCTTGATTTTCTCAGTTTTAAGATAATTTCTCATAAATATTTTTTGCTAGTTGTTCAATTTTTTTTTTTTTTTTTTTTTTTTTTTCTGTGAATTGTGTTTGTTGGTAGTTATTTGGAATTGGTATATCTTGCTATAGTAATTGCTAATCCTCCTCATTTTATTGCATTTTCTATCTTTTATGTTTTTGATGGGGATGAGTCATTATCAGTTGGGATTGGTCGAATTTTATTGCTAAGCTTTTACTCAGATTTCTAAGGGATTTCTAAGAGTCACATAAAGCAGGAAGGAATTGAGGGCAAGGTGATAATCTGTGTATTTTGATTATATTTACAATTTCACACGATTTTTTTGTGGGGTTCTCTTAACTTAATACACTGTGATTGTTTGGTGATAATCTGCTGCTTCTACATGTTCGATGAAATGCTTCAACTACAATCTACTCCAGCGTCGTCACCTTCAAATCCCCATATCTGTGTATCTAATAAAAGGTCCAATGAAAATAAGAAATATTTACTATAGGTGTTGGAGAATAGTTTACCTCCGCCTTGAGTTCGTTTTCTTGATCCATCACCAGTAAGATTTATTTTTGTCAATAAATTTCCTATTTTCACTTTTATATGAATTTTCTCATATTACAACCTCATCCAAATTTATCTAACTATTTCTTCTCCTAATTTTGCATGTCTAACCTCTGCTCGATCTCGATAAAAGTAAGGCTTGATATGACTTAGTTCTCCCACTTTTTCATAGATCAGAAAAAAAAAAACAAGAGCATCATTAATGTTGACCTAAAATTTCCGAAGGATCTACAATCCTTTAATAGATTACCTAATAGTAGGTATAGACTAGAACGTGTTGTGTGCTGCGGAAGCCAAACAACCAAACCAACGTGCTACGAGAAATCAAATCAAACGAACGTCGAGAGAAGGCCAAACGAACCAAATCAATACCACAAACACAAACAACCAATTTTAACGTGGTTCGGCAAGTTGCCTACGTCCACGGGGCAAGAAGGGGATAGGGTTTTTTTTACTAATAGAGAAGAAGAATACAAAATGAGATTACAAATCACTCAAACTCACCAATTAATCTCACCAACAAATCTCTAATTCTCTCCAAACAAAACCCTAACCAATAGCTCAGAAAATACCTCTTTTCTGTGCTCCAAATATCCCCAATTTTCTTCTTAATTCTTTCTTCCAATTATTCCATATATAGAAATCCTAAAATCATAAACATACTAGGACTTCTAAAACAAAAAACAAAACAGATTAGGAATCCTAATAACCTGTTACCAAAACAGATTTGGAATCATGTTACCAAAACAGATTAGGAATCCCAATAAGCTGTTACCAAAACAAATTAGGAAACATATTAGGAACCTGCTATCCAACAATTCTCCACCTCAACAAAGTTTTCCCAAAACTGAGCCGACACCAATATCAACCAAACGTCTCACTTGTTACGTCCAGTACGAAGTGGAATAAATCCACGACAACAGACTCAATCCACAACAAGTCGAGAACCCAAACGAGAATGCGAACAAACTCCAAATGACGGTATCAACTCACCAAACCGGCTGCATCATAAATAACTGCCTACGTATCCTCTTGCCCAAGGAATTAAGCCTTCACGTAGTTCACCCAAATGGCCTCCAAAGACCCTCAATCAAATAGAAAAGTTTACAACTCTTCACTAATATCACCAACGGATCTGCAACTGATAGCGCTCCCATTGGTCCCAAACTGAAACAAATCAAACACCTCCACCTGAGGTGAACCAATGGCCGTATCCAAAACATGTCCACCAGCTGCACTCAAATCCAAAACCAACTCATCATCTGCATCCAAATCCAAATGATCTCCAAACTGTGTCACCTCAGCTAGAATTCCAAACGATGCAGTATGATCTGGAGTATGTGGGGTAATCTCCACCCAATATGAAGTAGCATCACCCTCCACCCGCTGTGATATCTCAATGATCTGATCAACACTCTCCACCTGCCGAGAGTCAAATGTGACATACCTGCTCATAATAAAATCAGGAGCTCCTAACTGATAATCAAACGAACCTCTGAATCCCAAACGTTTAATCAGATCAAATCTCACATCCTCAATGTGACCAAATGCTGGGTAACCAAATATCCGATGCAACCCAAAATCTGAATCAGCTCCACTAGATCCAAAATCTCCACATGTAGCAGTCAGCAACCTATGACTAAGATGACCCAAATATGTCGAAGCTCCAAAACTAAAACCAATGCTCAACAAGCAACGTCGATCCCCATCCATTAAAGAACGACCCATCAAAACTGTCATCTCATCTCGTCGTCCTAATATCTCCACATCAATGAAGTATCTCAAACTGCCATGAGCTCGGCATAAATGCAAGAAACAACCCCTACCAAAGATAGAATGACATGTTACCTTTCTGTCAATGCATTCTTTTAATTGTTGTTGAATTTTAGGACTTCACACCAACGGGACCTGGTTGCAACCCATCAATGCCTAGAACAATCCCTAACTGCGGAAACCAAATACTGATTACCTCCCAATGATGCCTCCTTAGAAGGCCCCTAAATGCCTGACTGAACACCACCTAAAAGACCCCTCGATCGATGGATAGAAGTGCCAAACTCCACCTCAGTCTTCTTACTCATACCAATGTGCTCAAAAGACTTCAATCTGCAGGTCAAAGCACTCCTCAACAAACCATGCATGGCATAACCAATCAAATAACCTAGCCTCAACAAATACCATAGTCTAGCCAAATCCAAAAAAGTCGTCAGCTCTCTATCAAACACCGTGTTCCCAATCAAATAATACAAATTATTCCTCCTAACGCCCTTCATCACAATCATGGACCCCAATATGACCTTCAAACGTGAATCAACCAAGGTTACCCTATAGCCTGCTGCCTCCAAAACTCTAAGTGAAATGATGTTCTTCTTTAACTGAGGAACGAACCTCACTCCAACCAACTCCCGAATCACTCCGTCACTCATCCTAATCCGAATGGTACCGATACCACCAATAGGACATTCATGATCATCCTCTTTCCAACTCCTGACAGCTGGAGAACTAATCCCTCCTAGGACAAATATGGTAAGAAACACCCGAATCCAACATTCACTCTGTAGAGTCGGCAACACAAACTGACGGTAGTACAGATAACGAGTAGCCCAAAGAATTCGAATCTGAATTATTGCTACTAGACTTGACAACATTCACCTCTGAAGCTTGAATAGCTTTCCCCTTATTCTTCTCGGCTCGATCAACCAACTTTGGGCATTCGGCTTTCCAATGTCCATCCTCTTTACAAAAGGCACACTGATTCCTACGAACTCCAAGATGTGCCCCTCTAGACTACGACCTCCTACCACGGTTTAGACTCTTTGCTTTTGCGACCAATGCCCCCGCTACCAGCTCAACTGAAGTCTCCTTATCCTTCTTTCGAAGCTGATAATTCACAAGTACATCGGTGATCTCACTATAAGAAAGAGATGCCTTCCCATTAATAAGAGTAAGAACGGAGGTCTCATATTCCTCGTCAGGCAAGGAACTCAACAACAACAACGCCTTGTCCTCATCTCCAACCATCACATCTATATTCGCTAAATCCGTAAGAAGCTTTGTATAGTGGTTCATGTGATCACCAGTAGAGGTCCCCTTCTTTAATTGGAAGCGATAAAGCCTCCTCTTCAAATGCAAGCGGTTTTCTATACTCTTGGTAAAATACTTGCCCTCTAGAAACTCCCAAATCTTCTTAGCCGAAGTCTCATTGATCACATCATATTTTAAATCTTGAATCAAACAAGATCTAATCACACCACACGCTGTTCTATTCATCTTTTTTTAAACCTTCTCCTCAATGTCGTTCGGTTTCCCGTCCAACTCCAAAGTATCTTCTAAATTTTGCGCATTGAGCGCATCCAAGACTTCACATCTCCAAAGGCCAAAATTGTTTATGCCATTAAACTTCTCCACATCTATCTTCATAGAGTGGATATTCAAACTTTGGACGGTCTTCACGTCGGAAGTATCCTCCATAATTCCTTCTTTCCCGACCATCTTTATCACCAAATGAAGCCCTAGGCGAGCCTCCAAAACGACCTACTCCTCCAAATAGCCCAAGCGTAGCCTGAGCTCTGATACCACTTGTTGTGCGTTGCGGAAGCCAAACAACCAAACCAACGTGTTACAAGAAATCAAATCAAACGAATGTTGAGAGAAGGCCAAACGTACCAAATCAATGTCACAAACAAAAACAACCAATTTTAACGTGGTTCGGCAAGTTACCTACGTCCACGGGACAAGAAGGGGATAAGGTTTTTCACTAATAGAGAAAAAGAGTACAAACTGAGATTACAAATCACTCAAACTCACCAATTAATATCACCAACAAATCTCTAATTCTCTCCAAACAAAACCCTAACCAATAGCTCAGAAAATACATCATTTCTATGCTCCAAATATCCCTTTTTTTCTTCTCAATTCTCTCTTCCAATTGTTCCATATATATAGAAATCCTAAAATCATAAACATATTAGGAATTCTAAAACAAAAAACAAAACATATTAGGAATCCTAATAACCTGTTACCAAAACAGATTTGGAATCATGTTACCAAAATAGATTAGGAATCGCAATAACCTGTTACCAAAACAAATTAAGAAATATATTAGGAACCTGCTATCCAACAGAACGATCTAAGAGGAAAATGATAGGAGGTTTTTACAAGAAAATAGAATTAGATTAACTACTTGGAATATAGGTACACATACTAGAAAGACTATGAAATTAGTGGATGTCATGCTTAAAAGAAATATAAATATATTTTGTTTACAAGAAACTAAATGGATGGGTAAAAAATCTACAGAAATTAAAAAGACCGGATATAAATTTTGGTACATGGGAAAAGAGAAGAATAAGAATGGAGTGAGAATTCTTGTAGATAATATAATAAAAGAAAGTGTTGT